GTGCCAAAAATAAAACACTAATAAAAGCAAAGAAAGTGCGCATTTTAATAAATTTTTAGCATAGAGTTGCCACCTATTAAAAATATATATTATATAATATTTGAAAATATGGCAAGAAACTCTGAAAGCTCTCTCGGAAATTTAATTTTAACTGTACTAACGAACAATTTAATTTAAAATTATAATAAAATAGTGTTGCCACCTTTACCATAAATTTCACTGCTGTCGTATGCAATTAAGATGAGTTAAAAAAATGCTCGCAAAATGTGTTGGTGTACACATTCTCATAGTTTGATATATGTATATGGCAAAAACGACTTTTTCTGGGACCAACACATTTAACGAATTCTCAATTTCGAAATTCGTAGTCTTATATTTCGACTTGCAAGCTAACTTTGTCAAATATACAAAAGATTTTTTCGATAGATTCGAGTCTTAAATAAAGAATAATCGCTGAATATTTCGAAAAAATTTCAATTTCGAAATTCGAAGTCATACTTCGACTTTTCACGCCAACTTCGAAGTCAAATATGTACTTAAATTTTTCAATAGTTTCGGCACTTATGTAAAAAAAAATTTCTCCATATTTCGAAGAATTCTCAATTTCGAAATTCGAAGTCTTATTTTTTGACTTATAAGCTAACTTTAAAGTCAAATATGTAATTGATTGAATTAATCGATGTATTCTGGCTTTATGTAAAAAATAATTTCTCCATATTTCGAAGAATTTCCAAGTTCAAAATTTGAAGTCAAATTTTCCGACATTGGCAGTTAAATTCAAGAAAATACTCTTTACACTGCAAAAGTGTAAATTTGAAAATTTGTTTTGTCCAATACCCAGCCGAGTACGGTGTAGGGACATTGTTCAGTTTTACTTCAAAATTGTTTCCATTCGCTTATGGAAATTACCATACAACATATACTACTGCAATTGTAAAATTAGACAAATCAAAAGCATACGCATGGTTGCACCCTCAAATGAGTTTTTATGTTTTAAGGCAACAGCAGCAATAAAAGCAACAAGTTATTTAACTAACCGCTGGCATTTAAGAAATTAGTGGACCTGATGGTCACTGTCAAATTAATGGTAATTTGTTAGATATACGTATATTGATGTATATTTTGATTGCTTGCAGACATCTTTCTGCCTGCAGTAACTGCTGCTTTGGACATTAAGCAAATAGCTGTAAGCATTGTGGCCATTTCCGTCGCCTCTTGGTTGCTGTGTTCAGGCAATCAGTAGCAATCATAAACGTTTATCTGCCTAATTACGTCAATTTGTGGGAGTCATAAAGCGTTTTTTTGCGACAAACAGCAATAAATATTTTTTATGTGCGTAATATATACATTTGTGACGTATATTTATATTTACGAGAAAAAGCGGAAAAATTTCTGGTAAACAAATAAATTGTGTTTGTTGCTTGCTTAAACGAAATTTCTTTTGTTTTCTGAAATTGTTCGCTATTAGCCGGTGGAAATAATTTTTTATGCCTGAAGTAAATTTATATTATATAAGTACTTATATACCTTCACTTAAAATCCAAAATAACGTAACATCAATTTTCATAAGTTTGCAGACGAAGAAAAAACGATAAAGTATACATAATAGAAATGAAACATATTGAAACATAATTTCAGTTTTGGTTATAAAATGATTATATATTGATTATACGTTGGTTATATATCTCAGAGCCGAGACTTGAAATTTTACGATATTCACATATAATATGATGTAGTGAATCGTAAACAGTAAAAAAATCAATTTCCATTTTTTCGATGAAACGGTGTTTTTCATTTCAGGTGACAATATGTATGTCAAATATTTAAAAAAAAGTTCCACTGAAGCCTTAATACCTCACACAAAAAAGTTACCCTACAAGCACTTGAGCGGTGACTTTGTATGCTAAAAGACTCTAGTCTAAACATATTTTTTTCTAAGATTGCACTATTTGCTTAGTAAATAATGCACGTCTTGTATCTGGTCAAATAAAATAGTTTTCCATACAAGCATTTGATTTCGTTCGAACGGTTTGTATAGTGGCTATATGTTTTAGTTATTCATTCTGAACGCTTCCTTCCGAAATTATACTGTTGTTTTGAATAATAGCGCATGCGAAATTCAATGAAGGTATTTTTACACATAAAAGAGCTTTTCATACAACAACTTGATTTGATCGCTATGTTTGTATGGTAGCTATATCCAACTGTAATATGATATCAGTGGATTTCACAATTAAATATCTCAAAAACTTAGGGACAAGTTAGCATCTGTGCAGGCAAATAGAAGGAGTGGTTAAATCCACTCGTCTCATCATGCTGATCATTAACATTTGTATATGCTTTATAGCATTTAAACGTTTTTTACAGGTATTAAAAATTTTGCGCCACAGCTTGGTGAAGGCATAATCATTACCCAAATAACCTTTTCTTCATCCTAAATATCAAAACAACTTACGCTGTGACTCAGCTTATTGACGGAAAATTCATTGTATTAATTACCATAATTCATTGTTTTTTTACTACTTTATACTCGTAAATGAATTAAACCGCCGAGTCAAAGATCAGCAAAGGGAAACAGAAATTTGAAATAAAATTTCTTATAAAGTTATCAGGCTAGCCTCAAATGTACTGTTACAAAATTTAGGAGTATGTTGTGTATAAGTGAGCAATCGAGATAATTTCAGCAACTCAACATTATTGCATCATAATTATGTATTTGTTTTCAATTTACCATACAATTAAGCAATTAACTAATTGTTGAATTAAAATTTAATTGCCAATAAATTGTTGTTTAAGTCAACATGAATGTGCAGAGAGTTCAGTGAGTGGATGAAAGTATTATGTAGACAACCAACGAGTTCACAGAAAATTAAACATTTTCTTTAATCAATTTAAATTATAATTGATTTAGCTAATTGAACGAACATACTATGCTACGAGTTATTATCTGCTTTAATTTCGCCAATTGTACATTAACTCATAGACACAAACGCGAGTAGTTAAAGAAAATAATGCGGTACTAGTCTCACAATGATCCTGAAGGCATTATGCCTTATATAAAAAATATGTATTTATAGAGTTCCCGCGCTTTGCTAATTAAGAAATTAGATAATTTCAGTAAATTAACCTATATGTTCCTAATTGTGATAAATCTACCTAACAATGAATCAATTAAAATCAGTATTAATTGGCAATAAATATTTGTAAAGCATAATGTCTGACGACATAATCTTACGAGATTCGTTGTGAAATCACAGGCAATGAAATGCCTTCACTACATTATGGCCTTTAGGATCCACACGGTGTTCCTCTTGCAGTTGTAGTTCATCAATTCAAAAAGTTTTATAAGTCTTTCGAGGCATTGCTAATAAACCCGCGACCGCTAGTTGCAATTCTTTTCTTATACAAAGCCTTGTTTTCGTTTGGAAAGCACTCTACAGTCTGGCAATCTCGCTCTGCTGCTATGTCTACCAATAAGACAGTGACCTGATAGCACTCCTGCTAGAGTTCGTATGCCATTTTTAATCGTAATAGTCGTTGCTTATAGTTCATATGCCATTCTTGTCATCTTTGCGTGCTTGTTGAACAAATATGGCATTTTTCTGACCGAGACTCCGCAATACCTATAACCTATAATTTGTTTATTGAGATTGCAAATATCTTCGCACTAAAAAACTTGTGAAATTGTTCAAGGCGTGAAAAATCCGTATAAAAAGACGGAGAAAAATGGTCGAATATTTTGCAAATGCAAGAAATGCCCTGAGTGCACAGCGCGCGCCATTACGAGATCGATGGTTGTGTAAAATGAAGATGAATAGTGAAAAGTAACCAATAGAGTAACTATTAAAGATTTTACAGGATATTCAACGCATAAAAGCCCCTAATGAATCTCCTCACGAGATTCATGCGGCAAAGGTTGAAGCTGAAGAGGCTGTTAAATTGAAAAATATATACTAAAATTCGAGCCCGGGAACATCCAGAAGCTCCGGCATTTCAGATTTGTGAACGTCTCTGCAGCAAGTTCCTTATGGTATCTTATCATAATTGGCAGAGAGGATAAACCTCGTTAAGACGATTCAACCTCAACGATTGAGGAATATTCCGACGAATCGAAGAAGTTTCGAAGAGCTTGGTGACGTACCTTGCAAGTTCAGAAATACTCTAGGAGGAACACAATTTCTTGTTTGTGATTTATGAAATGACGATAATGCAATTGAATTAATAGTGAGGCTTCTGATTTTTCCAACGAAAGAAAATTTGGGGCTCTGTGCCAGAAGAGAGCAGTTGATGTAGAGCAGTGGAAATGGAAGAGGGAAATAGAATAGAAGAGAAATTTTGGAGTAGTAATAAAGATCCACTACCTTGCTAAATAAATTTTTACAAGCTGCCAGCAGTTTATACATGCATTTCTTTTCGTATAAGTCTAATTGCACGCTGGTGACTGCAAGGGTTAGTTAATAGACTTTACAGCTAATAGGAAAATCTATTTACTTTCTTAAGTGATACATCGATTATGAAATTAAATAAAAATAGCACCTTTTTATCCTCCTGAAGGCACTACCAGATTTAGATTAAAAACGAAAAATATGTACAGCAGTAAAGGATATTCCTTTAGAGCCGTCGAAAGGCGTTAGTAGTTCGAAAATTATTTACTCTTTCTCCTCAGACCTCTTTAATGAGAACACTTGACAATTATTGTGCTAAACTTTGAACTAATGTTACGTGACTGTACTTCAATCAATTTTGTATGGATTTACTAGAAACCCATGTACCATATTATACTTTTCGATTTGCTTCCTTTTTGGGGTAAACCGATATCACAACATAAACACTTCAAAATTTATTTGCCTTGGAAACACACAATAATCGCACATTTGACCCTCCATCAAATTAATGCATTTAATAGCTGTTATCCATAGCTTTCCAAGTTATTACTCATATTTTCACCAACAGCTAATGTGTACTAATAAAGATTTATTTCAAATTATTTACCATTACAGGCATTACAGGCAACACACACACACACAAGGAAACATAAAGTTGCTGCCACACGAGACTATAAAGCGACCATAGCTTAGCATAGTTGCCAGCGCAACAACAACAACATTTAATTGCAACAACGGCAAATTGTTTGTGCACACAAACGTTTTGCGGCACTCAGCGCACCCCAGAGCTGGGCGCCTCATTTGAGGCACGCGAGTTAACTACCAGTTTGGCGGCAATTTTTTCTATAGATCGTTGTTGTAGTTGGGTGTTTGGGAAAAAAATCACAACGGAACATGAACAGCAATTAAGTGCGGCAGCAACAACAAACGCCCACAAGCCACTGGAAACGACAAGTGAAAGAAGCAAATCAATGCAAGCTGTGCGCCTACATACACACACACACACACACGCGCGCGACTAAGTGCCACATGTGCAACTGATTACTTCAAGCGCCGTTGTTTGCTTATTGAATTCGCTGCTGAARAAGAAGAAGAGGAACGTATCAAAAGCGAAACAAAAACAAAAAAACGCAAAAAACTGGCAATTAGGCGCGTGAGTTGACCAGTAGCCAAGGCAGCGGCAGAGACCAACAACCGCATTGCGGTCATAAAACGAAGCGACAGCGACAGCGACAAGAAAATAGCGAAAAATCGCAACATAACCTCAAAGCTAGCAACCGCAATAAGAGCGTAATAATAAAGCTACAAATAGTTAATACACACACGCGTGCAACTTGTTTGCATTTGCCTTAAATTGCCGCATTTAATTGCAACACAAACCACAAACCAGCTGCACGAGATATCCGCAACAGGTACACAGCGCCAGCGCCAGCACCGCCAACAAAAACAAGCGCACAAACACGGCGTGGCGATTCCGAAACGAATTAGTTCAAGCGTGTGCGCACATGTTACGATAACAACAACAATAATAACAACTGAGCAAACATATTTACAACATATTTGGCGCAATAATCGCCAATTGACTAACGGCAAGTGCAACGACCGCCACGCGCATTGCCGACGCCGCCATCACCGCTGCCACAACCTTGGCCACGACAATTGGATTACCACAGCTGGTTTCACTATTTCGATTTTGATTGCTGTTGTTGCACACATACACTGCAGCGCTTGGGGCAGCACGATTTTGGTGTTTGCAAGTTCAAGCGCAAACGCAAACGCAAGCGGCAAGTTCCGTTCAATTAGCGAAGCGCGACCATAAAGAAGGCGACGGCCGCAACACGCCAGAGCGTTTGAGCAGCACGCGAGCAGGAAGTCCGGGCAGGAACCAAAGCATGTGCAAGTCGCATATGCTGCGTGACTAAAGCAACGTGTGAAGTTGTTGCTGCAACTTTGTTAGCCGAAACATTGCAGAGGTTGTCAACCTGCGGTTTATGGTGCGCGCACTCCTCAACAACGCCATAACGCTCTAAGTAATGCGAAGCGCTGTGTAGCAGTGACATAAAAAGCAACGGCAAATATAGTTGTTAGTGTATTTAATTTGCGCGTAACCTTGATCTTGCTGGACGTAACCATAGTGCCGCTAAAGTGTACTTCCGCGCGCCTTGTTAGCGCTGAGCGCCAAATAAGCGCGTTGCTGCAGCTTTTATATATTACCACACCCATCACCAAACAGTGATTCCCCAACGCTTCAGCACGTACCACTTCCACCTACTGTACCTGATCCCATATCAACTATCAACGTCGCGCCTTACACGTGCCGCGCTCAATGTAAAATGTTAGCAATCGCCAAATGGAGTCTGCTAGCTACAATTGTTAACAGTTTGCTGTTATGCACTTTAGCCATTGAGCGACCACCAGCGCTGGCCCACGTAGGCAACGTAGCGTCACAAACCGCATCCGCGCATCAACAAGCAACACAAACGACGCGTAATGTGCGCGAAAGCACAGCGTATAGCGCGCCGCATACGTCGCTGTTGCAGCAAACATCATGGTTAAATACAGCCCCAGCGGTAACAGTGGCGCCTGCCGCGGACAGTCGACGCACCGCGCGCAACCTTTACGCGCCCTTCAATACCTTCAGCAAGTTGGATGAAGCGCCCTTTACCGATTGGCACCGACGCGCCGATGGCACAGTGGTGCAAACTTTTGGCGCTTATCGTAGTGGACGCTCCCTTGGCGGGGTCGCGCAAAAAACACAAGCGCAAATGCACAACGCCGCTGCACAACGTCGCTCTGACGTCATAACTACCGTCGAGGTGATACCAGCACCTGGCATTGAACTTTCCAGCAGTACAAACAATGCTGCGGCCGGTAATGTACCCATCACAATACCGAAGCAAGTCGTGCCTGACGCAAATGCCGCAGCAGCCGCGCCAGTCTCTGCGCCAGTCATAGTGAATGCCACGCGCAGTTCACGGCAGCGCAACTATGTCTACATACCGCTGCAGCAGCAAGCCACCAGCACAACATTACTGCCAAAACGCAACAACAACTCTTTTGGTTATTTGGGTCCACCAGCGCATGCTGTCGCAGCGGCTGTTCAAGAATTCGGCGAAGAGTTATTAAACGCGCGCACAGATCGGAGCGATTTAGCGATTGCGCCAGCGCCGGGCGCACCAATCACATCCACAGACAAAGCCGATTTTGATGATGAGGATCCGGCGCGTCGCAATGGTTTCAAATTCCCGAGTTACAGCCTCAAACCAGCTAGTCCTTTCTATCCACAAGGTTACCGCGAGGATAATCCGATATTCACGGAAACCACAGACTTCGAGGCACCTTATAGCGAAGACGCGCTAGCGCAGGACACACGTCACACGCGGCAGCTCATCTATGAAAACAGCGACGCCACACCGATTTCACATCCTTTCGAATTTCCCGGCTTGATGTCCAATAACAAGCCACATACTTTAAGCTCCGCTATCGCTGCTGGTAAATTGTTTCGTGAAGAGGTCACCAAGTTTGGTGATGTGAACGGTCCCATAACAGCAGTACCACAACGTCCACAACGCGGTTTGTTCTTTGGTGATACGGAATTTCGTACGGGCCCACCACGCCCATTTGTGCCACAGAAAGCGTTTAATGAATACGTCGGACCGAATGGCCCCGTCGATTATCAGAGTTCGCGAAAGAGTCGCTTTTTCCCCTTCAAATCGTCACGCAGCCCTCGAGTCGTCTTCCCTGTGAACGATAATATAGGCACAACGGGACCTAGTGGTACCGGCAATGGCGTATACTTTAGCGATAGTGTTGCTTTCAGGTAAGTGGTTGATATTGTTAAAGTTAGTCATGTAAAATCTTTTAGTGTTTCTGTCATTTGGTATTTGGAGTTGCTAAAAACCCGGTGGGCTAATGCCAAAGTTTTTCTCGTTAAAAACCTGTTAGGTTTTATAGTTCGTTCACCCTCCGTCATCATTAGTTTGATATGGTAAGAGCAGTTGAGACGATCCCTCTTTGCGCTGGTCGGCTTTAAGCGCACTGGCTTATAAGGGCACGCATCAATGCTTACCTCACCTTGGAGATACCTTTCCAGAAGGTGGATAGCGCCTCTGTGTGGAGATTCTTAATGTGTGACCTGGTCTACGAAAAGGGAGCTAACGTGCGAAAATTTTTGGATTCTATCACGTGAAAAAGCATCTCATCTTCCATCCGAATCAACTAAAAAGTGAAAATTGATTTTTTGACACCTAAGCCCCCTTGCCCCCTTTCCGTAGACCAGGTCACATGTATGTAAAATTAATTAGGGAAACCTAAAACGGCATCGATCTTCTCGAAAAAAGGCAGATGACTCGGGTGGGTACCCATCACTTAGAAGACGGAACGACCTTCTGATAAAAGTTATGAGAATACCTGAGTTCCTCCCGAAAAGGGAGGAAAAATATTGCGAGTTGGCAGGTTAGGGAAGGTGTTAGCTCGAAAAACTAATGACGGTGAGCTGAGTGAATTAAGACACTTTGTCCGTCCGTCTGTCTCGTCTCTTAATTTTTGAAATATCTATGTCGAATTTTGCATACGATCTTTTCCCACCAAATAGTTGCTTATTTGTCTGGACCGCCGATATCGGACAACTATATCATATAGTTTCCATATAAACTGACCGAACAAAATCAAATACTTGCATGACCAACTTTTATTGTGAACAATTTCCGACGAAATTCTCTGGCGTTATTTCCTAGATAACTTACCTCGACATTCGAATACTAAGTGGTCAGGGTCTAGTAAGATGGAGCTGACAGATCGAGATTTGTCCCGCACTGGCAAGACTACACTGTAAGCATCGGGGGTCTATACAGTATGATATACTGGCGGCGGTATCGATAGTAAGGCCGCAGAGTCTGTTGCCGTAAGCGCAGACATCGCGAAGGATGATTACTTCTCCAGAGCCTAGGGAGTGAATCCCAGCTGGTATCGCAAAGGACCAAACCTGGTCTACGCGTGGCTTATTGGCTAACAGATTAACCTAATGTAACCCATGTCGATATTAAATACTAGAACCCCGCTAGGTGGCGCTGGAATGAAAATACTTATAAATCGCTTATTTATGGACCGATTTCGTTTTTTMAAAAACAAAAAAAAATATTTTAAAGATGAAACAGAGTTATTGATACGTTAAAGGCAAGTAAGAGGAGCACACAATAAAACTAGAAAATCGACTTGTAGACTACTAAAAATTATTGAAACATTTCGAAAACGATTTCTATGCTGCTTTGATCCGTCAAATTTAAGAATCGTCTTATAAATGAATCTACTTTAATTATATATTGACCGTATGAATTAATTTTTTTAATATCTTTAATAAATTCTTCAGAGATCAAAATTTCGGTATCAACGATTTGGCCGCCATTCAAGATGTACGCAATGAATTCAGTCTACAAGATATTGATGGCACATCCGAAAGCAGTTTGACGGGCGCTCCATCATCGGGTACATTCAAAGAAAAAGGTAAGCGTTCCCTTTCGTTACACACAAAAGCTAACTTCAATCCACATTTAACTTCAAGTCACAAATGCGTACTTACATAGCTAGATCTATATGCAGATATCGAAGAAAAAATACATAATAGAAAAAAAAACTTCTCAACACTCTTCCAACTTGCGCTCTCTAATGCTTTTAGTTGCTTTGTGCACTTTTAGATTAACTCGAAAAAGCTTAAAAATTACAAAAAAATAAATAAATTAATTATTGTATTTGAATTCTTTTTGGCATGGAGACCGGTCTTCGCTTTCAGTTGAAAAAAAAAAATAAAAATAATAAAACCAAAACAATAAATTAGAAATCCACATTATATACGGTGTCTTAGATTGACTTGCACTCATGCTATTTATATGTAAATGTTAATTTTTCCACACGCCACTTTCTCTCAGTCGATATCACAACCGAACTAGAATGTCAACACCGCGGTGGTACTTGTGAGTTTTTTCTCGGTTGTTGGATGAGCGGCGGTCTACTGCAGGGCACATGTAATGGCCTGCTACGCGGTTGCTGTCATCGCACAGCCAAATCGGCTAATCTACGCACCTCCGATTTTGTGGGCAATACCATCGATCTGACTGATCTTCCGCATAAAAACTATGGCCCGGTTAAAAATGATGCCAGTGAGTTGTGAACGCTTACTAATTAGGCCTTACGTCATTTACGTAATATTGCACGGCGGCATGTGGTGAAGTATGGCTTGGAAATGGCTACAAACAAACTTAATTTATTTATATATATATATATTTGCAAACACATATGTTTGTTTTGTACGGTTTTATGCGGGTTGCACAATCTTTAGCGTTTGAAATTATCTTGGCGTTTAGGTGTTAATGGCGTTAATGGGGTGATGTATATGCGGAGTTCTTGTAGATTGTTCATTAGTTTCATTGGATACAGTTATTTGTTACAAGAGAGTTTAGTTTGTGGGTTTGAAGGAACGAATTGTGTGAGTACTCTGTTAGTAGGATGGTTTATTTAACCGTATGCCCAAATCGGGTAATTTTGTTTGTACAACTAACTTTTGTATATACATTAAAACACATACTAAGTATATAATGTAGATTTATTTGGAATTATCTCAATTTGAACTAAATAGAGCACGGAATAGTAATCAATTATGGATTAGCTAAACTACTGTGGGCAAAAAAATAGTAAGACCTTGTTCAAAGTAATCCCTCTCGGCCCAATACACTTGTGTCAACGTTTTCTTTTGTTCAATATTCGAAAACATCTTTTATGCGTATAGCGATTGACTCGGTTTCTCCGTAGTGGATTGCCGAATAGCCAGATGTCACGCGAAGCTAAATCAGGCGTATTTTCAGCCTATAATTCCGATCTATTGCTACGAATAGCTTCGAGCAAACGACATATGACACTCAAATAGTTTTCTTTGTTAACAGTTTGGGTCGGAAGGAATTTGGAGTATACCATACCTCAATAATCGAAAAGAACTATCAACATAAGCTTGATTTTTGACCTGCTTTTATGTAGTTTTTTCGGAATCGGCTTACGTTTGCCAAAATATTCGGTCGATTGAGCGTTTGTTTCAAAATCGTAAGTATAGATATTTTATTTTGTTCACGTGTTGATCAGCAGTTGATGTTGATGGCCGTCTTGGATATGATTCGTCTTCAAAGAGTTCTCGACCCTCTATGGATAATTTTTACCAATCAAAAGCACTTGCTCGAGACAAATAATTATCACCGAATATCTTTTCAAACTTTCTGTATATTTAGGCACCAGAAATTTTAGACCGCACACAAAATTTAAGGTACCCTATTTCTGTATACTTTAACGTAAAAATTTGCCGAAATTTAGAAAGTCAAGCGTACTCGTATACTAAACACTAAATATTATTTTGATCTTACATTGTCACTGACATATTCACGCAATGTTTAAAGTAAAAAGTCTTACTACTTTTTGCCCAGTGTAACGCATTAAAAATGTGGTAAAGTCGTTTTGAATTAAAGAAAATCGAGAATAGTCAACGACTATTAGGTCGCCGAAGATAGGCGCCACTGTTTTTTCTTTATTATTTTGATTTATATAGAGTAAGGCTTAGTCACTTTACACTCATCTAAGGTTCTAAAAAAAAATCATATATTTTGATATTTTGTATCGAAGAGAAAATTTTCTGTTCTTCTAAATGAGTACAACAATAATAAATTATATTCATCTTCTTAGTTCAATGAACGATTTGCAATGAGTTATGTACAATTCGCTTAGTTTTTCTGAGCCAAAGCGAATATATCACAAAAAATATGAAGTGTACTTAGCATCGCGTGAAGCTTTTCAAATTCCTGATGCACATAACCCCGACTATCGAAAAAAAAAACAATCCTCATCACCTTGGTTTTTGAGCGTGCTTTTTGGAGTTTGGTTTCGTTTTTTCCCTCCATTTCGATGATTGTTGACTTGTTTGCATTATAAACTCATAAATCCTTGTCTCGTCGGCAGTTATAATGCTCTCCGTGAATGTGGAATGGTAATTCACACGATCAAGCATGTCCAAAGAGATCTGTTAACGATACACTTTTAAAAAAAAACTTCAGCTTTATCGGGACGAGTTGAGCAAGGCATTTCGAAACCAAAATATCCACCAAAATCATTCGAAAGAACTCGTGAAAGATAACGAGCGCGATCTAATACTTGTCTACCGATTTTCAAACACCACATTCTTCACTTCTTCAAATTAATATTTTCGTCAGTTGAAGAGGGCGAAGCTCGTTCAGAACGAGGCATGTCTTTAACAATCTCTCGACCGTCTTAAAAAGCTTTATACCACTCGTTGGTTTGAATCACTGTAAGCCTCTTCCAACATTCGTAACCGTACATGAAATTTGGTTAGAAACAAAAAATTTTAGACAAACTCCTAGTTCGATTTTTATGCATTGTAAAAATCGCAACGCACTGCTGAAGTGTACCGACTTAAGCAGCTGCTGTAAACAAACTAAATGCTAGATTGGGCTCATAATTGGCATACTTAGTAACTAAGGACCGTTCTACCAACACAGCGAAATAGATTTTTTTGGAAAAATCATTTACCCAGAAACTTAATTACAAATTCCAGATGCTTTTTTCTGGCAGCGTAAAAATACATGCGGAAGAACTTTCGACCAAAAATGCTCTAAAAATATGTTCCTTTTTTTATTTTATTTTTTTGTTCTCCAGTAGACCTGATTTGATTAGAAAAGTAAGTAAGGAATGCAACGCGACCTAGGGTTTATTGTATTCTCTCCTGATTCACAACGTCTCAACTAGCCACAGCAAATTTATAAGTTTCAATATACTGCTAGGTGCCATTAAGGTGATGTGAGCGCTATTTGGGAACATGGATCCAAGGGACTAGGCAAACAATGAAAAAATATTTATTAGAGTAAGAAATTCAAATTTGTAGTCAAAAATTACTCGAACTGGTATTTGATTTTTATTTTATTAATATTTTGCTTCAGAGAATTTTTTAACACAAAGAGTTTAATGAAATTAACTGAAGTTTTTGAAAAACATTGATTGCCTTTCAGGAAGCTTTCAGTTTATTTGAGTAATTTACATTTTTAGTAGCACATAAAATGAAACTGAAGGCTGAAGCTAAGAAAACACTTTATAAAATATTTAAAAAATAAAAAAGTTAACAAAAAAGAAAAATTATAATATTTAAAAACATTCTAAAATAAAAAAATAACGAAATTTTTTTTTTTTTTTATAAAATAGTAGTTTTGGTTTCTTGCGAAATTTAGTCTCATTATATTATACTTAGAAGTTAGCCGATAGAAATTGAGCCATTTATTGTTCAAAAATATATATGCATAAACTTATTTGAATATAAAAAAATGTTGCATGAGCATGTTTTTGCTACAAACGTACATTACGCACCGAATTTAAGTTATAAACTCTAAAGTACGCACGCTAATAGTATGACACAAGAAATTTATAAACACAAATACAATAAAATATGTTAAAAAAAAAAAACATAATAATATAACTTAATCACATTCGATTATATTGCATGCAATAATTGCCTACTTAGTTGGAGCATTGCACTCAGTTCGGCAAAATTAATTAATTAATACAACAATTTTAATAACATGTTGTAGTAGTAGACCAAATACTCATATTTTACTATAACCGATTGTTTTAAGGTCCCACATTTAAGTATGAAATCCTTTCACTAAACCGTAGAAAAAACAACAAAAAGGTAGAGTTCCCTTCAAAAACCAACGAACCGTCCGCTATTTCAACAAACCAAATGCTTTCTACTTACGATTAACAATAAACATATAAACGCCTTGGCCTGCCTACATACCAACAAATATCTATAGATAAATGCAAAATATATTTATGTATACCGTTAAGCCACTCACCCGTGCGCTGCTGCATGCCCGTTACGCGCCAAGCTCTAATGAAAAAACGAAATAATTAGTGCAACAATTTGTGGCATGAATGCCACTACTATGTAGACGTACTTTATGCAGCGCGTGTTTACTGTATTGTTTTTGTAAAAGTTTTGCTGCGAAAGCACGCGCCAACACCGCTAAGCCGCGTCTTAATGGTAACAGTCGCTTGTTAGTATTGTATTTAATGTTGTTTTTCTTGTTGCTGCTGCAATCGCGTTACTAATCCCTAAATGGTGCCGAAGTACGCCGCGCAGTTCGTACATCTGTGCGGCATAATTGCAACCTTCGTTTGCGGCTGCGGTTGGCCAATTTGTTGCGGAAGATCAGCGAGTGAGTGGCGCGCATGCGCCGAGATCGAAACGAAATTATGGTTAACGATTTCGAAAACCAACTGCATTGCACCGAAAATTGATTTTGTGTTACTTTACGTTATTATTGTTATTGCTATTACACAATTAGTTGCTTGTATTGTATTGTATTTTGCAAGCGCGCCCTGCCACCCAACAACAACTAGCGCCGCTTGCTACACATTTGCACTACTAATGCTCTGCCGCTCTCACTCATTTACATATACAAAATTACGCTCTCATTAATTGCAACTATCGCTCGTTAAATGTGAACTTCGCTTTCCACCACTCACCACCAACCACCTGGTCTTTCCTGGTCTCATATACTCGTAGTTGTATTGTTAACGGACATTTGCTTGTAGCTTGCAGTGTTAGCACAAAATCTCATATCTCTTTCACCATCCACCAAACAGAAATAATCATAAAGAAAAAATATTCACAAAAATTTTGCAAATTTTCCAGGTTGCGGCATTTCGCTGGCCAAACAGGCCGCGCAACGGCGCATAGTCGGCGGCGACGATGCCGGTTTCGGTTCGTTTCCCTGGCAGGCGTACATACGTATCGGATCCTCGCGGTAAGTATTGACATACAATTTTTTATTTGCAAAACAATAATAATAACAACAACCGGAACTGAGCGTTTCCGTCATAAAATGGAAAATTAACAAACACTCACGTGCACATACACACAGATAAATATTAAAAGATTGAGCTCGTGTGCAAAGACGCCTTAGTAGCTGCGAAGTGGCTTCGCCAAAATGCACAGCGGTTGCATAATCACTAAAGTTGTTTGAATTTTGCTAAATATGCAAGTAAGTGATTGCTTATATCCCGTCTGCAACACTTTACAGCTGCGTTGCATAAGCGGCGCGTCACAGTACCTTGCCACAAATAGAAGCGCAGGCGCTTTAAAGCATGTTCCATAAGTAAAATCTAAATGTCTAAATAAATATATATACATATATGTATATAAATTCATGAGGTCCACCCTATCCTATGCACATGTTGACCTCAACAACACCAGTCAACACCAACAACAAGCGTCAACTAGTTTTAAGTTTGTTTACCAATTAATCACCACCCATGCGCCTGAAAAAAATCGCGTGCCTTGTGTTAGCTGGAAAATATTAGTTTCCATTTGTCTGCACATGCTTTCATATTAATTTTCTTGCATCTTTATTATTATTGTTTTTTTATCTTCAACTTTTTTTCTTAAATCTTTTATTTTCATTCACAGATGCGGCGGTTCATTGGTGTCGCGTCGTCACGTCGTCACCGCCGGTCATTGTGTGGCACGTGCCACACCACGGCAGGTCCATGTCACTCTCGGCGATTACGTAATCAACTCTGCGGTTGAACCATTGCCAGCTTACACGTTCGGTGTGCGTCGCATCGATGTGCATCCGTATTTCAAATTCACACCGCAGGCGGATCGTTTCGATGTGTCCGTTTTGACGCTGGAGCGGCCGGTGCACTTTATGCCGCATATAGGTGAGTGTTGATGCATAGTTTTGAAAATATACCTATAATTTTTTGCGAACTGACTTTATTCAACATTATATACCAAACTTATACAAAAGGTTTAGATAAACTCATATCTGTATAAATTTTTTCGAATCAGTACTTGTAGTGCGGAAGTATAACATCAATTTCTGTAGGGTATAATATACTTAGTATTGTCACTTTTACAAATCTTAAAATATATACATCAAGGACAAGTTCGCAGAAATCCCCTAAAAAATCAGAAATCTGTATCAAGAAGAATGATTATATAGACCTGATCAATGTCAAGACTTATTCAACATGATCTCCACAAGAAAGCATACCATTTGTCAACGGTAATCTTCAAACACGAACATGAAGCTAATTATGCTTAATTCAGTGGCACGCGGTTAACGACCATGAAAGTATTCTTTCTTCAGATGAAAATATATTTGCACTGTTGAAGAAGTTTTTAGTAAGCAAAATGACAGAAAATACGCAAAAAAACAAAAAAAACACACAAAGTGGCAAATAATGTTAGGTTGCAAGGGTTCAACGTGGTTACTATCCAGTTATTATAATTGTATTGAGGAGAGTCTACTGCAAAGGCGTTACTTATCTTCACTTGTGTGAAAAAGGGGTTTAATCTGAGGCAAAAGTGTACTAGCAAGATGGTTGGAAGGCATGGAAAGTATTGGTTTGAAAGCAGCGGCTTGAAAGCAATATTCTTGGTTTCAAAGCTACTGATGATTTGCTGTCTGGAAGCGCAGATTTGCAGATCTTGGACTATAGTTTGTAGTCGGTTGGAGAACATGTCCTGTAGAATACCCAATTGAGTTTGGAAAATCTCAAAAAAGCTTTATTTAGAACAGCGTCGTCAATATCAATAGAAACTGTATGCAATTATTGATGAATTGCCGAATGATTTGAGGGCATGAGGGAACGTATGCGGTGAGGATTTCAAATAAAAATTTGTAGATCGATCCAATATATAAAATATCGAATAAATTTCATTTTATTAAAACAATATATTTTAATTTTTTTATTTTTCGGAATTAGTAACAGAACTTATGACAGGACTAAGTTATATCAGAAGCTTAATTTTAGTTTAAATAATATTTTTTTTTTTATTTACGAAGAAAATGGTATCGAGCTTTTTTTTTCAAGTTTCTAAGATAAAATGACGAAGTGATCTAAAGTGACTTAGGGTTAACAAAAATGCAATCTTTATCTAGTAAAAAAATTCATAGTATATCCTCAAAACTAAGGTGGAGGGAAAAATCGTCGTTAAACAGAGAGGAAAAGAAATAAACTATATTATTTTAATATTATTAGATTTCATATATGGGCTGTCTCTTTAAAAGCAAAATTTTCCTAAAAGCAATCGCTGTCAAACCAGCCATCAAAGTAAAAGTATTACTACAACGTATTATAAACATCAGAACAAACTTTACAAGTTGTGAAAAACATGCCTGCTTTAAGGGGTAGTTAATTGAGTGAAATTGGCATTTTTGGAATGTAGGAATTTTCGAAATTTTGCAGGGGCCCTTACATAAAAAAGAATCTCTTCAAAATGAACGTTGAAGGAAGTTAGACAATTAGCGTTCCGCATTATTTTATTGGGAAAAGCTTTTGCTAAACTAGCCATATCTAGAAAGATGGAAGTACCATAAATTGAACATCCAGTACTTTGGAGTGCATCACACCACAATAATCGAAGAAAACTATCAACATAACCTTAATCTTCGATCTGCTTTGACATGTTTTTTTGGCTTCGGCTCACCTTTACCACGATATTTGGCCGATTAATCATCTATTTCCAGGCCGAAAGCATAGTAACATTCTAAAACTATTTTTGGGAATGGTTTTCTCAGAACTTTCCGATATTCCAAAGATTGTCAAACATCAATTCCTTTATTTTATTTTATTGCTGATCATCAGTCAATGTTGATGACCGTCTTGGACGTGGTTCATCAACGCGTTATCGGTCTCTCTTTGAATGATTCCTACCAACATACTTGCTCGTGACAAACAATTATCATCGAAGGCCTCTTCCAACGTTCTGAACGTTTCGGTAGCAGAAATTTGATTCCGCACACAAAATTTAATGAAACTTATTTGTTGAATAATTTGACTCATCATAAAAATCGCCGATTGCATTTTTTGTATTTCAGAAAAATGAATATTTCGAAGTGGCATTTGGCACAGACGTCACTGACAGTCATATCAACCTAGAAATATTTCCACGAATGGGTTTTCACGCGAAATTTAAATTAAAAAGTCTTACTATTTTTGCCTACAACTCTAAGCCAATTTTCGATTGTTTTAAATGTTTGGTTAGAAATATACATACAACACCATTAGTAAATTTTTGGATTTTTATCATATCGCATTTACGGCTCATTCTTTTAATTATTTTTTTAGTAGTTAGTTAGTGAATTTTTAATTAATACTAAGATACTCTTGGATTACCATTTTTACTTCAATTTATTTCATTTTAATCTCATAACCATAACAGCGCCTATTTGCCTACCGGAGAAGAATGAGGACTTTCTTGGAAAATTTGGTTGGGCAGCGGGCTGGGGTGCCTTAAATCCTGGTTCACGATTGAGGCCGAAGACTTTACAAGCCGTGGATGTGCCAGTGATTGAGAACCGGTGAGTAAATTTAACTGCGTACTTATAATTTGAGGAACATTTTAATTTAATGGAGCAGTAATAAAAAATAAGAAAAAAAAATTTATATATATAATTTTAGAAAAGGAAATCTAAAATTTAGAAAATAGAAGATTAAAACTTAGGGAAACATTATTTTGTATTAAAAATATAAATGAATTGAAATTTAAAGTCTTGTTTAGAGATTTTGTACATATCGTGACCTAAAATGCAAAATAACGTAACATCACATTTCATAAGTTTACAGGCGAAGGAAAATGATATAATACAAACGACTCATATTGTCAAAAAATTCTAGTTTTTAATACAAAATGGTTATATATTGGTTATAAAATGATTATATATGGTTATATCTGACAGCGGAAGTTGAAAGTTTTATAATACATACATATATATATATATATGTAACATGCTATAAAAAATCAATTTCGACTATTGTTTTGCATTTTAGGTGACGAGATACACTATTGATACCTGCAATGTATTTGAACTTGTATCCATTAGTTTTTTTTCTCTATATTATATAATAATTTAAAGCAGCAATTCTGCTTCTATAGTTTTTGGTGCACAGTTTTAAAAAAATAATGCATCTTAATTTTGTATATTTCCTCTCTTCAGCATTTGCGAACGCTGGCACCGTCAAAATGGCATCAATGTTGTCATCTATCCCGAAATGATGTGCGCTGGCTATCGCAACGGCGGCAAGGACTCCTGTCAGGGTGACTCTGGCGGACCGCTGATGCATGAGAAGAACGGACGTTGGTATTTAATCGGTAAGCAAATCGTAACTAATATCCCTGCACAACATTTGCTAATTACTCTGTTCGTCTCTGACGTAGGCGTGGTTTCAGCTGGCTACTCGTGCGCCTCGCGCGGCCAGCCGGGCATCTATCATCGTGTACCCTATACGGTAGATTGGATATCCTACGTCGTCGGTCTGACAACGAATGTGTAGTAAAAGTGAATCATCTCAACTTCACTTACTTCAATTCTACTGCGAAATTGAAATATTATATTTTAATACCGAATGTCGCAAACTAAAAATGCTCAAAACTTTCACATTTATCGATTTCTTATTTAATTTTTCAAAAAATGATTTCTACAAGCTTTCGCTAGCCACTTTTCTATTTTAGTTTTAGTAAAGCATATTTATTTGTAGCGTTTCACGATTTCACATCTTTTTCGAGTTTTGTAAATAGTTCTTATTTTATTTGAACACATTCTTTGTTTGTTGTTGGCATTTGCACTCACTTATACATATATATTATATGCTAATGTTGGATAATCGTTAAATTAATTAGTTAAGCGCATAACGGGTCATTGCTTCATTTAAGTGTAAGCTGTAAGCTGTAAGCACAGCTTTGTATTTATATTAAAAACAAATGAAAATATTTATAAATATATCACCTAAGTGAGCATATAAATATATATATTTAGTTATAGGTTTGTATATTTAATATACACATACATATATATTTGTAATTAGTTGCATATAACGGTGGTTTCTTGTACTATATATACTATTTAGTCATAATTTTGCACTTAAATGCTCTGCAAGTGAAAGCAATAAATATAAATACCTGCATAAGTACATATTTACGAATGTGTATAGCTTCTGTAGTGATGTAAATAGTATGTAGAGCTATTAATTAGTTATTAATTTTTATATAATTTATATGTGAATTAAGAAACAATAAATTAAATGGAAAATAACTTCTTTAACTTATGTAAATCTATGCAATTATTAAAGAAACTGCGTAATCTTTTCCCAATAGTAGATTTACACCGCAATCCCAAGCGGTGGGTGCTTATTTCATCAGTTACATATATAATAAAGACAAGAAGTAGTTTCAATAAAACAAAGTCAGCAAACACCATATTATAATTATATTCATAAAATAATAATTTCAATATTATTTTAGGTCTACAAGGTGTGCCCCCAAAAACAAACTGGACGTGATAAAATTAACTAATTGAGCTACCAAAAATTTATGTATTTATATATGATCGCGTTGATTTTTAATACAATTTTCAGTCTTGGATATTAAACAAATTCATGGAAAAAAACACAGGTCATATGTAATTAGATAAACCAGAGAAAGATTTAACATGGTACGGATCTTACGGGCCAATAAGTATCTAACCTTGGCTCTCCAAAATATTTGAAAAATGGTTAATATTAAGGATCTCTGTTTTTCTCCATGAAAACATTACAACACGCATCAATTCGAGTTTTGCGCAAAGCGGTAGAACTGCACTGTGAAACACTTAGATATAATAACGACATTAGAAGCGCATTCGAGTACAGAGTTCTTGATGTAGCTCAGGCATTCGATAAGGTGAGGCTTAAAAAAGTTTCAAATATTATAATAACCATATTTTCTTTCATTGTCCTATATAAAATATTAGAAACTTATCAAAGAAATAAAAACTTTACTGTTAAAGTAGCTAATTTCACTGAAGAACTCCCGATAAAGGCTGGTATATATGCAGTGTACTAGGCCAAACACTATCCATTAAAAAGTTAGCATTTGAAAAATACATTCATCTTTTTTCATATGCATATAACTTCAACTAAATGTTATGCCACATGCTAAATTTCCGTCACTTCAATAACAGAAAAATGTGCAATTGCTCTAAGTTTAAATACATTACTGTCAGTAAAAAGTATCAAGGCTTTTTAATTTAAATTTCGTACAAAAGCTTCGTCAAAGTATTTTTCCTAGGTTGGTGTGACTGTCAGTGTCCGATGTACCAAATGTCACATCGAAATAATCATTACTGCTTAGTAGACACTCGTCTTTCTGATGAGCATAAAGTGCATTCGGCGATTTTTACTTTGAGCTAAATTATTTAACAAAGAAGTTCCATTAAATTTTGTGTGCGGAATCAAATTTCTGAAGCCGAAACGTTCGGAATGTTGGAAAAGGATTTCGGTGATAAGTGTTTTTCGGGAGCAAGTGGTTTTTGTTGAAGCCCACAAAAAAAAAAAAAAACAAAAAAAAAAAAAAAAAAAAAAAAAAAAAAAAAAAAAAAAAAAAAAACATCAGAGCAGGTCAAAACTCAAGGTTATATAATAATAATAATTTTGGTTTAGGCGCAAATAATATAGGCAGCCACAAACACTTTGCAGACAGTATTGAGTGATCTGAGCCATATTTTAATTCCAACTGAATTAAAAACAACAACTGTGTGTAAGGGGTTAGACCAGCCATATAGCCCCAAAAATTTCATAATTTTCAAAGTTTTTTCTATGAGTCTGAATAAAGGAATCTACTTTCTCTTGTTTTAAGCTTTATTAGAACTGAATTTGACTGTGTAAAAAATTCATAGTGACAATTGATATAAAACGGCTAACCCTCTGTATCACCGCTATCGTGGACACCGTACAGGCGCCGGTGATTCTAAGATCTCAAGATCAAAATTGAATTGTGTTGGTAAATCCTTTTTTTTCTGTCTGATGTTCTACATCATTTGGTATTTACTTGACAACTTGGATTTTCATTGAAATCACAGCTAGAAAATCGTTGACAATATTGCATAAGTGTTTTGGAGAATATACTTTATCACTAACACAAGTAATTGAGTGATGCAAAGTATTCAAAGAAGGTCGTGAAGTCATCGAAAACCGCATCCGGGTCCTGCATGCACTCCTGTTAATGACGATAAAATCGAAAAAGTGCATGAAACCGTGCTTTACTATCGCCATGTGCCATTAAAGAGATGGCAGAGAATCACAACTTCTCTTGTGGATCAATTCAATGCAATTTAATTCATATTTTGGGTAGGAAGTCAATGCTATACTCTTACCAAAATACTTGAATGCGTCACCACCTCCTTTGACAATTGTGACTGATTTTCTGGCCAAAAATGACGCGAGAGTCATTGCTCAGCAACCGTCTTTACCAGATTCGGCTCCCAATGACCTTCCACAATTTTCAAAACTGTACTTGCGTCTTCCTAAGCTTAAAAAGTGCCTGAAAAAAGTAGTCCACTCAATTCGCGCTATTGAATACCTTGCGACGAATGCAGATGATGTCGAAGAATAAAGTCATATTTTAGTTAAAAATAAATTTCTTTAAGTTAGATTTGTGAATTTAGTTTATTTTCGATGTGTTATGAAATGTGGAAGTGATTAAATATCTAATTTAAAAGAATGTGCTACACCAGTACAGACAAAATTTCAATATTTCAAGCATTGTTTTGAAGTGGTTATTGCTCTCAAACCCTTATTGCGTTGTTTTCTTAAGCCTCAGATTGTAAAATCAGATAACTCTGTTTATTGTTTTCTTCATTTATCAAATTCTGCTCGTTTGTCAACCGGTTTCTGCGTAGAGTTTTGCAAAGATTGAAAACTTCATAGGTTATTTTGTAGAAAATCACTGAAAATAAACATAGATTATGTGATAAAAGCAGTCCAAAAGGTACTTCAGCTCTCTACTTATGATCATTGAAAAGGAGGCGAGCAACAAAACGAAGATTCTGAGGTCTATCAGCAAGCTGGAGACAGCTATGTACAGGGCGATATGAGCGAAGAGCCCAAATATGAAGCCGTGAAATAGCAGCCAAGGCAACATAAGCTTGTGGTTTAGCTACAATTTCACAATATAAAAAAAAATTAATTTTAAATACCACAAAATGTTGAAATGCGACTAACCTTCGCAACGCCGGTGAGCAGAAACATATTCATAAGCACATTGATGGCGGAGAGGAGATAAGCGCTGACGCTGACCGTCAATAACACTTTGAATGAAATTAACGCATTAACGTTCAAATTCAGTGTAGTTTTAGTTATTTAAGGAGCGCAACCACTCACCCCGTCGCAACATTGCGCATGAGCGTTCCATTTCGGCGGATCTGCGCAGCACCAACAGCAGATAGCGCACCACATCGTGATGCCACTGCATGGTCAATCCCGTGCACAGCAGCAGCGTCGTCGAGGCAATGATGCCCATCCAGCCGATAAATGTCACATTTTCGCGCAAATTACGCAATTCATCATTCGGCGCATCCACTGCGACTGCGGCGGCGGTTATAGTGCCGATTGTGGAGGTTTTCTTCGGGCACACCGGCGCTATGGGGTCCTTGCGATTGGGCTTCATTTGCGCAGTTTCGCAAATGGCTGCTTTTTGCTGTTATTTTATATTTTTTTTATTTATGTACTGATATTTTTTTCAAAAACTAAAATTACTTCAAATTTTGTTCAATTAAATGAAAAAAAGAATTACGATTTCAAATTTTAGACAATCACATTTGAATGATTTCTGACTTTTCTGTAGTGAAAAGTTTTCCAAAAACTATTTTCTAGAGGTGATGTGGGAAATTTGTGAATATTGTCAATCAGGCAGGATTTTTTTGGTCATCAGTGTGTATAAAAAGAACGATCGTCCAGTCGGAAGTATAAATGTAGTACTGAGTTTGTCAATTATTAAAGAAAGAATGAATAATCCAAAAAAATAATTTAGAGCTGACAGCAGCGTTACTTGAAACGGCTGGTAACTTTTCAATATCGACTACTTCAAACGCCTAAAAGTATGTAGTAAAGAAGTTATGTATGCAGCAAAAGCTGTCGCCGCGCGTCTGTAGCAAATTTACAGTGCCGGACATTAAAATATGGCTCAGAAAAAAAGTTTTGAGTCACAAACATAGGCAAACCGTTATTAAATTAAGAAATTAGAGTGAGAAGTATAAGTAAAGTACTCATCATTACAACAAAAAAAAAAACATCGTTTTATGACGGGTGATCGAGGTAGAGGTACGTTTTTTCAATAGGCTGTCATGTTATTTTTGTTCAGTATTGTTTGGCATTCATCATGGGGAGACTTACGCCTGAACACGTTTACAAATCGTTCAACTTTATTACGAAAATTTCATGTTGTGCAAAGATTGTGTTTCGCTCAAATTATGGCCAACATAATGGGCCTTTTCTGCAACACCATCACCCATCTTTACTCTCAGAATTCATTATTGAATAATATGCGTTCGAATAGACCACGTCCAGCTCGCAGTGAGGAAAATAAAGCAGCCGTAGCCGAGAGTGTACACGAAGACCGTGGTGAGTATCGATATCTCAAATTGAAAGCGTACAAAATACATAACAATTGCTTCGAACTATGTACTCTTGAAAAGTTCAATGAAGATCCGACGTTTTCAAGCCAAACTTTTTCAGTGATAAGGCCTATTCTGGCATTTGGAGTTTTGGACGGTTTGCTGTAGTTTGTTGACCTGTGGAATCAGCGCTCTATATTACATCAATGGCGACCGTTATCATGCCATCATAACCGACTATTTGATGCCAGTAATTTAAGCTCGTGATTTTGGCGGCATTTTTTTTCAATAATTCGGCACCACTTCCCACACATCGTATCAATCAATGGATTTACTGAGAGAACACTTCGGTGAGCAGATAATTTCATGTTTTCTTCGGGTCGATTGGCCACTAAGATCGTTACGTGTGGGGATGTGTAAAGTCTAAAGTATGTGCCGACAATCCCGCTTTTTGGACTTGGAGCAAAACATCACACGGGTCATTCGCCAGTTACCGGTTGAAATGCTCGAGCAAGTCATCGAAAATTGGAATCAATGGATAGACCAACTGAGACGTAGCCGCGGCCAATATTTGAAAGCGCAAATTTTCAAAAAATAAATGCCAAAGAATGTTTTATCGAATGATAATACACATTTCCCATTAAATTTGAAGTTGCTGGGTTTTTCCTTTAAAAAGGTAGGGAACCTCGAAATGTACCAACCTTTATATAGAATGGTTTTGTCCTCATCCGATTTATGGAGATATTACGGCGAATAACGCATTCGATGGAACGATGAGCTGTGTGAGGTATATGATGACATTGACATAGTTCAGCGAATTAAAAGACAGCGGCTACGTCGGCTAGGTCATGTTGTCCGAATGGACGAAAACACTCCAGCTCTGAAAGTATTCGACGCTGTAACCGCCGGACAAAGCAGCGGAAGAGGAAGACCTCCACTCCATTGGAAGGACCAGGTGGTGAAGGACCTGGCTACGCTTGGAATATCTAATTGGCGCCACGTAGTGAAAAAAAGAAACGACTGGGCGCTGTTGTTAACTCGGCTATAATCGCGTAAGCGGTGTCTACGCCAATTAAGAAGAAGAAGCAGTTCCTAGGATCTGCGACGCCTGAAAAGGCCCTCTTGAAAATGCTGATTCCGCAATCTCTGAAGAAATTGTTTATCTCGGCATACTATAACCAATAGCTGCCATATGAACTCAACGATCGGAATTCAGTTCTTGTAAGGAACTTTTGTATTTAAAATTTTGTGGTAAATTTCATTGGACAAGATTGTAGTATTCTTACTGTCAATGTTTGTGGAAAATTGGTTCCTAAGACTTAATATAAATTAGTTATTATTTTATTTTAAATATTAGCTTGTTATTGAAGACTACGAGCTTCCACTGTATTTAACAATACGATTCCACTCTTTTAGTTAACAAAAACCTTTTAAGTTAAATTGTCCACATTCTATTTTCTTCCTCACAACTGTGCATATTTGAAAAGAGTTATGTCCACAGATTAATAAAAGCCAAGAAGACCTACACATTTGCATTTACCTTCCACATTTTTTTCTTTTATCGTGTTATTAAAAATGCTGCTAACAAAACATAGAATTACCATAAGAATAAAAAGATTATTTAGAATATCAATAACGAAGAGAAAGTGCAATTATACGCAATCAAGTTAAGCTTAAGCGCGTTACGGCTATAAAGGTTCTTAAACTGGCGGCATGGCGCGGTACAATGATGAATGAAAAGTACATACTTGTGGATGAGCAAAGAATGCCATGAAGTACTGATGATGCGCAGATAAATGTGAAATCGAAATTTAATAAACTCTCTTTCGCTCTCTTACATGTAAATATACATATGTGGCATCATATGAGAGGCTATTTAACTGCATATATCAGAGGCTTGGCATTAATTGTTTAACCAGTGAGTTATTATAATGAATGCAATTAATCAATTTGTCAAAATTTAATATTAAATTTTTAAATCAATTTTTATTGGGATATAAGTTTTGCATATAATTAGTAGCACTTACCGCTCTAGTTTCCGATAGGCATGCTGTTCTGAATCTGAAAGGGAAGACAAAATTTATATTTTTTTAATTTTTTATAAATTTGAAAAATGTAAATATTAAACAATAAGAAATTTACAGCCGTACTTTAGAACAGATTTTGACACAATAAAATAACTTTCAAACTTTTAATTTAATTTCAATTTATTAAAAATTAATCATTTATTCTGAATGTTAATTACAAATAAAAGGCTGTTAATACTAAAAAACAAACTGCTAATAAAATATCAATCAAAGTAATGTTGCTTAGTTTACGAGTGAAATTTCGAATTTTGGTATTGTTCAATTTTCAAAGAATTCTAGCATGAAATTTACTTTTTGGGAGAATTTATCAAGTGTATTCTCCAAATATACGAGTCACTCTCCTTAGCAGTCTAAAATTCACTGTCGAACTAATACTGATAATCTTTCATGACAAACAGAAAAATAGCAAATAAGATATGTCCTTCGAACAAAAATCTTAAATAACAAAAATTTAGAAAATTTTAGAAATCACTAAATAATACCAATATATTTAATACAACGAACCGATTTCCTCGGACTTTTGAAGACCAAGTTTAAGAGCTTTCGTTCGCTAATTATGAGGTAAGAAGCCATATACACCAAAAAGGGCAGTGCCTTGCTAGTTCTTCAAAATCTTCCTTGTTAGGTAGTGATTAGAAACTAAGTGGTTATATAGAAACTAAAACAAATTTTTATACTACTGCGATCAAATTAAAAGGCGAATTTGGATCATTTCATCTTTTTCAAAGTAATCCTCTTCTGTTGCAATACCCTTATGCCAATAAAATTTCCAGTCATCATAGCACAAAATTCTGCGTCGTGATAGCCATCAGAGCCTTCTTTGAATCAGCTTTTATATCCTCAATTGAGTCAAAACGGTGCCCTCGTATTTGTCATGTGAATTTGCTGAATAGCCAGAAGTTACACGAAGGTCAATCAGTTGAATGCGTTGGGTGGGGCACGATATTAGTAGAAAGTGTGCCAAAATGATCACGAATAACTAATACAGTATGAGATGGTGCGTTATCGCACTTCTTTGTGCAATAAATTCAGACATAGTAAAAATCGAAGAATTCACTTTTAGAGCCTCACAAAACGACGTGTATCTCAAATACTAGTTAGTTTCCGCAAAACATTTCTTTCGAACACTCCTAAGGCCGATCATCGAATAATGTCATTGTTCATGCCGCCGCACCATATTGCACTACTTATACACGTTGGTCTCTGTTCGTCGAGAGAGGACTTTACTTTTCAATTGTCAATTCAGTGCAAAGTAGCATCTGTTGGCAAGAAAGATATGAATGATTGATATGACTTCAAAGTTATGACGGTCAACAGCGACGTCTGAGCCAAGTCGCGAGTTGGACGACTGACTGGAAATATTTCGTCTTATCTTACCAGATCCATTTGCTTAGCTTCTTTGTCCAACAGCTGTACGGTCTTACAGAAAATGGTACCTTCTCTATTTAGGTTGACGAAGTCACATGATAGGGAGTCTTATTGTGTGATGTTCGGAAATGTTCCTCAAGATCTTGATTTAACTTTTGGTGTTGCCTAACGTTAACATACACAGTCGTATTAGCTTTGCAGGAATACCAAGTTTAGACAAAGCGACATGGAGGCAGTCGAAAGCGGGTTTATAATCGACGAAGAGTGGTGTGTGACGACGACCTTTCTTTCACGAATCTTTTCCATAAAATGGCGCATACTAAAAATCTGATCGACAGTAGATTTTCCTGGTCTAAAGCCATACTGATAAGATCCAATCAGTTAGTTGACGGTTAGCTTCACGGTTAGCTTCACACACTCCTTTTATCTCACGGTATTTGGTACAGATTGTGGGGTCTCCCTTTTTGTGGATTGGGCAGAGCACATTTAGTTTCCAATCGTCGGGCATGCTTTCATTCGACGATATCTTGCAAAGAAGCTGATGCATGCACAAATACTTTTTGCTAAATTCGATAAAACTATTCAAATACTTGTAGTTATCATCGTTGATGATTTGTCCGATGCTTAGCTATTAAGTTTTTTCCAACAAGAATTATTCCGAAGTCAGGAAAAAGTAAATAATATCTAGAAATCTCAATTTCTGTTATTAAATTGAGACTGTTTTCTTCGCGATTTCGTCCTGCATATAATTTACTAAAGCTTTTACAAATTACTTAAATTATATATTACATTTTAAAAGATTTTATTAATTTGTGGACTTTGTAATCGTTATCATAGGAATAAATTTTTCGACAGTTTAAAAAGTGCTTTTGAGGTTAGGTTCAACTATAAACCATAGAAAATTCTGTGAATCATCATCACAGAAATGCTTCATACAAATTCGAAATATAATATTTAATCAAAAATGTAAATTAATATTCAATAGATTCAAATCTATTCCACAATATTTCTCAGTGTACTTGAAAGTTCCCACTATTAAAAATAAATGTAAGTATCTGCAATTCGGCTACTGCTAATTTACTTATTTATTTATACGTGCATTGTGTTTGAACGACACCTTATTCACAGCAAGCGCTCATTGCAACACAACGAGATAGTGATTGCAACGAAAATTTCATAATCGCAATTGTATGCTTTTTGGACATGCAACACCTGTTTTAATCAGTTGAGTACATGCCCATTTGTAGACGAGTGGAAAAGAATTGAGAAGAGCAGCTTTGGGCGCATCTTCAACTAATTACATTAAGTGGTAGTACACACACAAACTGCTCCTTAGACACGGCATTCAGCTGAAAACTCTCAGTACGCGGCGCCGCACGTTGGTGAAACATGTTGCTGAGCTGTTGGCGTTGTTGTTCTTACTAGTGCAACAACATAGTTGCTTAGATTGCTACTTATGGCATTTCCTCAGCAACAGGTTGGCGTAACGCACAATTAGCAGACACCAAACACAGCAGCCACGCCGCAGCGCTGAGCATCAGCGGCAAGCTGCAAGATCAGTTGGATTCTGTCGTTTGACGCGTTTGGTCTGATATTTTGGCTTTCTTTTATCGTAACATTTATTCTTTGTGGCGCTGAAGACTGCTCGTTAGTGGCGGTGTGTGTGTGTGTGTATGTGTGTTTCAAAAGCTAAGCGCTGCGGTTGTGGCTGGTGAAAAGAACAATAAACAAGTGGTAGTGAAACCTTTCTAAAGTGATTTAGAAAGAATTTCATGTAATTTGGGTGTCAGAAATATTTAGAGACTTGTACGCGCATGTGTTAGAGTGCTTGAGTGTTATTAAAGTGAAATTTCATGCACGCGGTGTGGGCAAATTCTTATAAAAAATAACAACAAAAAATTGGTGTTCACATATAGTTTTGTTGCTTTTATTATTGAAAGTGCGGCAAAAGTAACGGTAAAGTGCTGTGAAGATTTCTAAGGAATTCAAAAAAAATATTATTATTTGAATAAATCAGTTTTGAAAACACAAAAATATAAGTAAATACATATGTAAGTATATGTAGAAATATTCATATATATTTAAATATATTTATACGTAACTCTTTTCAATATTTTTGTGCTTAAAATTTTTGATCCTTATAAACTTTAGAAATTCATAAAGCATCTTCTTGTTATATCAACGAAGTATAAGCGATTACATACATCCTTGCAAGTCAGTAAAAGCCGTATTTTTGCGATTTGTTTTCAACGAAGCATTTTATTTAAAAAACAAGTAAGGAAGGGCTAAGTTCGGGTGTCACCGAACATTTTATAGTCTCGCATGATAAAGTGATAATCGAGATATCAGGCGTGGTTGTGAACCGATTTCAC